AACTCAGTTGTAAACTTATTTACTGCTTCCTGGAGTAGGACTGCTCGTAGCATCATATGTAGTGTTGAATCCCACCGGGTTGACACATCTTGGATAAGTCATAGGACTTTTGCTCCATCTTTAATGCATCGTCTTTGAATTCCCATAAATTGCTCTCTTCGCTGTGAGCTAGAATTCACAAAGACAGCTAGCTTCCGAAGCTAGTATAGTATTAGTTGTGATTACTACAATGATTACTATAAACATATCTTGGCAAGTGTCCATGGAAGGCCCTTTTCCTTACTTAGATCTTTGAGTTCGTCTACTGAATTGTCATCCCAGTCAATCTGTAGCTCTGAGTTTGATGGGTTTAATTGAATTGACCCAAGGAGAGCCTTCTGTGCAAGCTGAACAATATGTGCAAAGCATGGGATATGATGAATACATCCATCATGGTATCTTGTTGGCTCAGACGATAACTCAGCTATCATATCATTGATAATTGCCATCATTGAAGTATTGTTACTTGCATTATCAGTTGTAATGCAATGAACTCTACCATCTAGGTGATATTGAGATATAACACGCTGAACAATAGTCGCAAGGTCTTTCCCAGTATGGGCTCCATCGAGATACTCAAATCCAATTAGAGCTTCACGGTATTCCCATTTCTCAGTGATGAATGTAGCCATAATACCCATGAAGGAGTGTCTTGTTCCAGGGCTAGACCAATTGTCAAGGGATAATGCACACCTCGACCCAGGAGCAAGACCATGAAGGGCAATCTGTTATGCATTACCTACCATAACATCAAGGCGCTGCCGTAGGGTTGTTGGTGAAGGAAGTGGATATTTCTGGTTCTGCCATAGTGCCATCTCCCTCCATATAGGATTCTCAACTGATCGGAATGATATGTTTAGGGATACCACAGTCTCAAGAACAAAACTGTAGAAAGCTTCCCTTGGATCATCTTCTGGTTGGCGCATAGTCTAAATAATAGTTAGGCATATTTTATAGTAATAAGTATAGTAATCATGCTTACTGGTAATGATCCTGAAAGGCGGAGCTTGGATTGATGTAGTGTAGAAGTGTGAGATGATTTCCTCAAACATCCAGCTGATCGAAGATGGGAACTCATTGTGCTTGTCCCTGCACCCTTTACACTTGGCTGATTGAGTATTCTAGAGCATTTCCGGCAAATAACAATTGGCTCTCCAGTTGATTTCCGAGCACCTTGGTCAAAGTCTCTCCATACATTTGAAGTCCTAGCTGTTGACCCCCAATTGATTTGCTTATCAGTACTTAGAAACAGATTTGGTTGCTCTTTATACCAGGACTGATGATGCCACCAGTCATTGAATAGTTCTGCTTTTGAAGGCATCCACTTTAGCACATTAAGACCTCAGATTGTAATTAGACCATCCCATTGGTCGCTTAGAGGCTGAGAGGACTCAACCTCAGGTGTTATGTTGCTTGATTGAGGATCATCGAGAGAAAATACATCACTATAGATATGTGTATGTATTGGTGAACTTAAAGATTGGCTATAAGACATAATATTTGAATATATCACAATTATATTATTTCAAAGAAAATAAAACAACTGAATATTTCTTAGGAAATATATCTATCCTATACGTACCTCTCTATTTCGCTTGAATTTACTTAGTTATAATATCTTAAATTACTTATGGAGTATATTTTAATAGCAAGTTTCAGTAATATGGGTCTTTGAGAACAAGAGCCAATTATGGTAATATTTATAGTAAGCTATAGAACCATAGCATTAGAAGTAGTGGATTGAGCTACCTGGACTATTCTAAAAGTATGACTAGATCTACATATTGTAGAATTTGGCAAGAAGCTCGTCTGATTCCTTAGTAGGAGGTAACATAGCCAACTTCTTGTCAGATGGCAAGACCCATTTGAAATCCACCAGCTCATCCTTCTCCCTCAGCATCTCCCAAGCCTTAAATGCACCAGTAGCATCTTCATCCAATTGAAATCCATGCTGAGTAGTGTCGTACCCATCAGGGTACCAATCAGCAGGTCCGGGAAGAGAAACCTGCCCATCCTCAAAGTTCCATGACGCGAAGTTCCTCCAGACAGCTAATTGAAGCTTCGTGAAATATAGGTGAGGAGGGATCTTCTCGTAGTAGATTCTGTACGTATGTGTTAGCTGATTACTATAGTGATTACTATAGTGACTCTTACCCAGTCTCCTCATCAATTGCTGGGGGAAGGTTCTTGAGGAAGTTGGGATCCGTATTGACTTTGTTCATGAGCTTCAGAGTTGACTTGTATGCCGTCGACCATTTGTGGCGCCAAATGGTGAAGGCAAGCTGCTCCACTCTCTGGGTCTATATTAGTATTAGTCCCCTAATAGTAGGGCTGATCATACCTTAGTTGAGGCTTCAGTCTGGGTCTCCACTTCCAGTTGGACCTTCTCAATCTCTTTAATCCCAATACCATTGGCCAACTCGTCAGCTCTCCACATAGCTTCCTGGGCAACTTCATCGTCCTCATCTTCGGTTTCCCAGGCATGGTTGTTGTCGTCCCACACTGCGTATGCTCCTCCACCTTCTCCAATCCCAAGGTGTTGTTGAACGATAGAAGCATGGTTGCCGTCCTGAATGCTATTTCCTGGTTACTATAATGATTACTATAACATAGGAGAAGGGAGCTTACCGTCGGAGTCGCACCTCGTCCTTCTTAGACTGAACCTTCTCTTGTTTTTCAACTGGGCTAAGGGCTTTGAAAGCTTGTGTCTTCCGGATTTTCTTGATAGTGTATGCAGTAGCCGCTGTACCAGCCCTCTTTGCATTGTCGACCTTGAGTTCTTGTTCCGTCATGTTGTTGCGGCGGTTCTGTACACGCTTGGTGTTCTCGTTGGTCGACTTCTCGGTTGATTCTTTGCACTTTCCGACCATGGTGGATGATGGGTGATTACTATAATGGTTAATATAAAGTAATTGATGGTAGGAGGAAGTAAAGATTTACCTTGGTGGTGGCAGAAGTAGGAAGTTTGGGGTGGTGGCAGAAGCTTAGGATTCCTATTGTTGTTGTGTATTGTTATGGTAGAATTCACTTAATACGCCTATTACCATATAATGGGTGAAGCTCAAGATATTTCGCCAAGCGAGCCAGCAGTTCACCCAGAACACAACACACACCCAAATTTGGGTTTTCCTCCCTCAACCTTTCTGTTATTATGTGACAAGCCACTCACGGGTGGACTGGTAAGTGAACCACTCCTCTTATATTATAGTAATACTTATAGTAACACCTCGTCAGGGCAATATGGATGACGAGCCTATGACGACGCGGACCTTCAATCACCTCCTCCAACCCAGCCTAAGGCTTCCCGAGGCCCAATCCCAACTCTTGCACCAGGCCAAGTACTGAGCCAGAAAGAACCCAAGATATCCAGCATGGCTCGCCAGAAACAAGTTCACCAGAATACGGCCAGCAAAGCCCCAAGGAAGGCACCAGTGGGTGGGAAGACTGTGATGAAGGCGAAGAAGCGTCGTTCCAAGCCAGGCAGTAGGTGATTACTATACTTATTACTATAAAGCTCTTACTGACATCAAATAGTTGTTGCATTTCGTCAAATCAAGCGATACCAGAAAACAACAGAGCTACTCATTCCCCGTGCGCCATTCGTCCGCCTCATCAAAGAGATCATGGTTGACCTGAAATCGCCCTATCGAATCCAAGCGACTGCAGTTTCTGCACTACAAGAAGCAGCTGAGACCACTTTGGTCAAGGAGTTTGAGAGTAAGTGAACATCCATTTTATAGTAATCATTATAGTAATCATTACAGTGACGCAACTTGCTGCAATCCACGCAAAGCATGTTACCATTCAGCAGAAGGACATGAAACTGGTGCAATCAATGAGGCTCCATATGACGGGGTTCCGGTTCCCAGGGCAGCTACTTTGAGTAAGGAAGGGAGGAACCAATACTGGGGGAAGTAGATACCAAATATATTCGTTTACTACACTAAATATATCTGTCTGTGAAGTTATCGTAGATTTGAATATACGCACGTGACAGATTGCACGTGTTGGTTTGCCAAGGAACCGTTGGGGGACCGCACCGGTCTGGTCGGTTTTTCCAATATTTCCAGACCAGACCGCGGTCCGGTCTGGAAATGTTCCGAACCGACGGTCCCCCGTGGCGCACACTAATTCTAACCGATTTAGGCACCTTGTAGAGTTTTGCAGCCGCGTGGCGACTTAATTTGTAGGACGATTAGATAGCTTCGATAGCTAAAATGATTTGTGCTTCAGGAGTTGGGGCTTCATTATTTGTGGTAGAAAAAATGCATGTTAAATGACGCGTCAAGAAAGTGCGCAGCTCGCTGGTATGCGCGGCTCCCTAGTGAACACGTTAGTAGGATTTCCTTTTTTAATAGGAAACCATCTGATCTTTGCGCTTTTATTAAAGTCTTACCACTGCCGCACTTGGTCTCAAAACCTCACGCCATGGAGAAATTCTATACGTTGCTCGTTCCTTCCAAACTTATTTACGCCCGGCGGGCCCAATAATCTATCATTCTATCGTGGAGCTGCAAGAGCTAGCGAGGCTGGCGAGATTGTCGTGGAATGGGCCGATGGTATATGATTTAGGCAGTTCTTGGGGCGCTAGGTTTTGTGATGGGAGGAACGAGGTCGTTGAAGATTGACAACTCGTAGTAGTAGATAAACTCATAGTAATTAATATTTTGGGGTTTTCAAAGACTGTAGTTTCGTATATCTTGTCAATGGGGAGAAGTGCTTAGTAGGATAAGGAAGTGAAGGGGCAACGGAATCACTCGTCTCGTTTATCAACACATTTTGGCAGTGCGCAAGTCTAGTTGCGTTCATTCAGTCTTACAAATGTCAAGCTATAATAATATTTCCTTTTCTACACTCTGCTTTATCAAACCCCATTACATGAATCGAATTTATCCCATCTATATAATCAAGGCCTCGACCAATCCAAGAAGATCTATTTACAGGATTTACCCCTCCTACCATTAAAAAACAAAACTCGCGAAGAGTGCAACCGAAACCATGGCAGCTAATAATGTGGTGTCGGTATTCCCCGACAGGGCCGCCCGGGTGTACCTCACATTCTCCTTCGACTTTGCGTTCTTCCCTGAGATCACATTGGGACCACTCCTATCCCCACTTCCTTTCACATTCTCATTCAATGGAGCATAGGAGTGCGCCCCATCCCCCTTTGTTCTCGTTGCCCATTTCAATCTCATGTCGTCCTTTGCCTTCTCCCATTTTTGTTTCACATCCGCTTTTTTCGTCGCCCATTTCCGTTTGATATCCTCCCTTTTTGTCTCCCATTTCCATTCCCCGTCTTCCTTGCAAATCTCGTGTTTTGGTGTCAGGAGATCCAGCTCTTCTGTTTCCCTTGCGTGACGTTCGCACTGACAGTTGAGCTTTTCATTGTTATATGAAGACTGTCTTGTGTTGATGCCGGGCTTGTCAATTTCCAATGTAGTGTCTTGGCACTGAAGGATGGCCTCGTTGTATTGGAGGGACGACAAAGGTGTCTGTGTTATGGCGGGTGCGGAGTATGGGGGAGGTGGGGACTGTGGTCCAGACTCAGGGTTTCTTTGGGACATGGCAATAGTGATGGGTTTGTCGTTTAAGCGGTGTTTATAGAACTTTGAGCGTGGGTGTTTTTGAGATTGTGTATAAGGAAGAAAGGGAACGGCGAGAGAACAGCAGCAAGAGGTGGAATGAGAAGTTGACGAAGTGAAACTACAAAGGGGGGCTAATCTTTAGTATATTGTCTCATAATATCAGACCATATATCATATGATTTATCGTACATCCCGTTTGCCAAACTCTAAAAGACCACCGTTTTTAGAGTTTGGCAAACGGGATGCACCATATGAGTTTCTTGTACTGGTTCATCAAGCACAAATTAAATTACGTTGGTTCAATTCTGCTGTGCTTTAGAAACCCCTAGTCTGATCATGTCGAAATAAAATCCGACGCTCCCAGGACCATTAAAGTAAGAACAACCAGGCACGCTAATCCCACGGTACGGCACGACACACGGTCCCGTCAAGGCTGGTCTCGAAGCGCGCGCTCTCCTTTCTCAAGGTCAAGTTCCCTGTTGTGAAGGTCGATCATCTCATTTCTGTAGTTTATCTCGTCTTGTGTGAGGGTGGGTTCGCACAGCATGTAGTCCGAGTGTGGAGGGTTGGCGCTCCCTGAGCTTTCAGATGAAGCTATGGTGAAAATGCGTATGATTGGAGGGCTCTGGATTATTCTGTGGAAACGGCGATGGGAAGACGAAGAATATCGAACACTGGTTAGGTAGTAACTTGGTGTATTGTGATTTTACTTTAGTGACTTGTTAAGTCAGGCCATGTGAACAGCAGGCAATATTTTTCGTATGGTTCAGGTAATAAAAAATACAAAACCAGTGCTTCATTTATGTTTGACTTCAGAAGCCCCTTTTTATTAACATCGTTGAAAACACACACACTGATGACCCCAAATACAAAGACAGCGCACAGCGTCATCGTGCCTAAGATAACGGCATGACCAATATCTCACCAGGGCTGCTCTTGAAATTGGTGCTCAGCTTTGGCGAGCACAATTTCCTGGTGGCGGAGATTGATCTTCTGCTGTCGGTAGTACATCTCATTGTATGTGAGATCACGTTCGGCGTCCTTTACTAGTTGGATAGCCGTACATTGTGACTGTGGAGGGTCGTTGGGGATGACTGGCTGCGGGGCTGTTTTATGGGTGCTTTTGGAGGGGGCCATGGTGAAAGTATTGGTAAGCAGAAGGTCTAGAATATTTGGTTTAGAGGAGGAAGATGGCGGAAACGAAAGAGACAATACAATAGAGAGATCGGAAAGGAGGATATAGGCTGATATCCTCCGCCCAAACTAGTTTACCACCACGACTTACTGTAGCCTCAAAACTTCGCGTCATATGTGTATAGAGGACAGACGGTGAATAATGTGAGCTTCATTTATGTTTGACCTAAGTGTGCATTTCCAGGGGGGCTTGATTGCTCTAGTATAGTGCTAATTTAGATAGAGAAAGATTAGACTCCGATGTGGTAATCTGCATTCTTGATGTCGTGTCCGCGCATGAACAGCTATATAAACCATACCCAAGTACCTAATCAGCCCCATCGGGAATCCTGACGCGGCCTACTACCACACTAACGACCAAATCCCACATCAAAACCCCGAGTATAATAGCGGCACTAAGGCCGAAAAAGCCAAGAATAGCTATTCCAATGCAATTGCCAATATTTCCGAGTGTGACGTGGCTGCAAATCTTCTTGACTGGTATTCGATTGTAGAGCCTCTTGACTGGGCTGGAGATCTTCGCACGCCATCTTGAACCAGGCGTGGACTGGAGTTGGCCATTTTCTAAGTCGATCTGGTGCTCGTTATGTAAACTTTCTTGTTGGAGTGTACTGCTACTGCCAGTCTCAATGTTGCCGGTCATTTGAAACGATGAGTACTTTGGAGGGGGCGTAGTGGAAGCGTTTGTCATTTCCGGGGCGCAGGATTCCCAGTCGTCCTCCCCAGTTGCTAGATTCCAGCTGGATGATGACATTAGGTTTGATGAATAAGCTTGGCTATGGTGAAGGATTCAAATGAAAGATTTTAGTAGCTTGGGATAGAAGGGATGCTGGGTGCTACGTGCTGTGCTTATTGAATAGTAAAATGAATGAAGGAAAGGAAAGAAATGGAATAGAATTAAGCGCGGAGATGTAAACCATAGTATGTTATATTTCCATCGTTTCATGTGTTGCAGCGCGAGTTTAGTGCCAAAACTATATTTTATCATTTTATCACTGTTAACTGTCAGTCGACTGTCAATGTGTGGAACCATTACGCCACTCTCCCAGTAGCTTTGAACCGGCGTCCCAACGGCGTCCAAAATTCCCGCCTATCCGCATCTCCGAGTAAACTACAAAGTCGGCATCATATCATCACAATACCACGCATTCCATCACCAACGACAACTGCAACACAGGCAGTCTACTATACTCCGACAACAGATATATTCAGGTTGAAGAGAAGCAATGTGTCTTTCTGCCGGCTGTGGGGCTTGTCGTGAGTCCCATCTCCCTTCGCTTCCACTCCTATCTCAATATCCCCAGACGCAGAACATTACTCAAATGAGCATTGAACTAGCAAACTAACTTCCCCAGAAAAGAAGACATGGTGGGGCTGTGGATCACATATCCCTTCCGTCATGGACAACGTCCCTGAGACTGATCGCTGCACTTGCGAGCCCAAGGGTGGGTTCAGCCTCATCCCAGATTCCCGCCTCCGACGTCGCTCTTCATCCCTCTCCTAGCATTTCATTCCCCGCCGTAGCAAGCAATATCACCTGGCAAAGCTAACACAGGCAGTCGATGTCGATGGGGCGAAATACCCCCCTAAAGCGGCGAGTAAGAACTGATTCCCTGGCTGAGCTGGCATGGCATGGCACTCATAGTGGGCATAGCATTCTGGAGGGTGGTGAGGGGAGCGGTGAGGCTATAGAAACCAGCTGATACTGAGTGAAGGGAGCTACGGGTGGTGATGGTGGATTACCCACTGTGCAGGTGTTATTTCCGTATGGAGCAGTGGTGCAGAGGGACAGTTATGTGAGGATTGGACGCGACGGCAATGGACACAATTCAACCCTACCCGAATGCACTCTCTCTCTTCTGTGTCTCTATTGTGAGGGTACTCGTATCCTATATGGGCGCAAGTGAGGCAATGGTGGACGCCGGCAGCGTCGGATCTACATATGGTCATCACTAGGCTGCGCACTACTCGCTCAATACTCGGCTCACTCGCTCAGTGGGTTACTCAGCTGGGTGAGTAGCTGAACCTTTTACTCGACTCGGTGAGTGAGGTCAATACTCAGTTACTCTGTAAAAACCCGGTGAGTACTCGGCTATCACGTGTAAGATTTATGCATCATGTGAACAGTCCCTCATACGATTAATACTGTTTTATGGTTAAGTTAAAGTATTACATCTATTAGCATCACTCTCGCCATCTCTAGTAAGCTGTGAGAACGAATCATGTATATTCCTCTATCTAAGTACCATGATTATCAGAAGATTATTAGAACGCTATTATCTATTATATATGCTTAAGAACATCCCTCCACCTTGCTTGATGAGGCCGGCCAGACCTACTAATACCTAAAGTATTTATAGGGTCTTGATGAGGATCCTCGACTGAGCGGAACGAGCTATGAGTCAAGATAACTGTGTATAGAACTTGTTCATAAAATGTCTCTTGTGTGAGAATATGATCTTATTATAGGTATTAACCTACATAATTCTGATAATAATCTGGTAATCCTTACTTGTTGAGGTTGCATTTGATTGATTCGCATTTGATAGAGACTATCCTTCCCATCTGTGACTTCTTTTTGCAAATGTCTGATGCAAGATGTGTTGCCATAGACTTTGGGCCAGCAGACTTGATTGCAGGATGCGTAAGGGCCTTCGAACAATAAGTACAAATAACACATGGTTCTCCAGAAAGCCGGTCTGCTCCTTGGTGATAACTTCTCCAGTATTGAGAACTCCAGTTGGTTGAATCCCATGCAATCTTCATAAGGAGTTTTGTAGTATGATCTGAGTGTTGTTCATACCATCGTGATAGCTTCCACCACTCAATAAATATATCGTGTGTATCCTTAGTCCATTTGACGAATTGGTTTAACTTGCCAATATATTCAAGGCCTGCAGGGACTTTGTAAGGATGCCTGTCCCTCAGTGATGGAAAGGATCTGAGTCGGGCAGGTTACGGTCACATGATAAGAGTTAAGGCAGGTTAGCTGAGTCGGACCCGTTTCGGGTACTTAAGGAGATTGACCCAACGGGGGTTCCTCTCTTCATCTTTTTTGTATCCTTCGTAGTAGACCTATAGGATAGCATCCGTTTAGCCTCTGACTCGCACTCTCATATGCTATTACTGTGAGCTGGGTGCCCTGTGTCCTTACAGACTTGATTTAATGAGGATAGTCATTGAGAAGACGGAAAAGAGTCTGAGAATACTGTCAGAATCAAACAACTCTGAGTATTGAGATGGCATTTGGCAAATTGCTCGATTATCAGAAGGTTACCAGAAGTCTGGCTACGATGAAGTACTTAAATACCTGGTTTTCCAACGCGAAAGGTACTCCAGCGCTATAACTTTAGCAACTCAAGTTCTCCTCTACTCTAGCTCCAGGAACAACATATCCTGTGCAGCTGATACCTTAGCCCACTTTTCCTTATCAAACTTCTTAGAGTAGACAAGTAAGAACGCCTCTTTGAAGCTAGAACTATGAGTGGATATTTGCAACCATCCATTGTCGACAAGATTGTAAGACTTTGGGTACCACTGCACAGGTCCTGGTAATTAGGCCCACTTTCCAAACTGCCTGCTCGTACAAACAGAAATATTTATGTGGTGGGATAACCTCGTGAAAAGTGCTATAATAAACAATTAGTATTGCCAGAAGATTGCTAGGATGATCAGAGACGTACCCTTCCTCTACATCAATCCACGGCATATACTCAAAGAGACGCTCAGGCTTCTTTCTCAGCTTTCCAGCCTTTCTCGTATATGAGTGGATACAGCTATCCCAGAAATGTTGCCACTTGCGGAAATTGGACTCTTCATGGGCCTATCAACTATTAGTATCACCAGAAGATTACCAGATTATGAGGTAGCATACATCAATGTGCGCTTGAGTTAAGAGAGCCTGGGTGCTAGTGATCTCTTCATCGGAAAGCTCATCTGGTAGAACAGCCTCGTCATTTAAAATATCTCGCGCTGTAACATAAGCTCCAACTCCAAATCGTCTTCAACCTCAGTATCCTCCCATTCGCTGTTATGATTGTCATCGATTGGAATACTTGAGATACCCTCAAATGCAGCAAGCTCAGACAGAAGTTGTTTGGGCGGAGTAGATGGTGGGGCTTGTGGAGAAGAAGAGGCGCTAATATTCTTGACTTTCTGATTCGCAATGCAAGATGCATGGGTACCCTTCTCAGTCCTGTTTATAGTTAGATTGAGGCTACCAGAGATTACCAGAAGGAACTTACCGAACACAAATACGCTCAACCTTCAATTCATTCTGTAGACGTGTCTTGTCTTCAGTAGAGGCAGCGATATACTATGTGTAATGACACAGGGCACCCAGCTCACAGTAATAGCATATGAGAGTGCGAGTTGGAGGCTAAAAGGATGCTATCCTATAGGTCTACTACGAAGGATACAAAAAAGATGAAGGGGGAACCCCGTTAAGTTTGTTTCCTTAAGTACCCGAAACGGGCCCGACTCGGTTATCCCAACCCTAGCCCTGAACCTTCCACCGCAACAGGTCCGCATCGACCCTGAACCCTACACCCTTACTGTCCCCCACTATAGTGTAACTCGCTATGTCCTCCTCTACTGGTCCGAAACCACACCGAGTCGGATTTCATGCTTGTGGTGACCGTAACAGCTCTGAGGCGGGTTCTTCGAGTATCTAGGTAAGGAGGCATCCTTACACTTTGCAGACTTATATAACTTCTTTAAGTAGTAGCTCAGATCAGCATGGTCAGCCTTGAGTGCTAAGTGAACAGCCTTCTCATCTTCAGTAAGGTTGGAGACGCAGTTGCGAGCTTTGATAGTATTCGCATTAGTGGAGAGTTCTTCATGTGCCTTGAGTTTCGCCATACTAACTAAACACGTGATTAGCAGAGATCTCCAGAAGTTCTGGCTATAGAATCAAGATAATAAACTTAGTTGAAGTCCTAGTGAAGAGGTAAAGGCTCAAAAGGGAAGAAGAATGTGTAGATCGGAGAGTAACCAAGGAAGGTGGTTCTAAGGTCGTGGTTATTTTAAAGTTGCAAACAAAAATATTTGTGAAGGAATATTCACCTACAAAGAATTACTGTTCCAAAAACAACACCACAATGCGCACCTTCATATAAAACACATACCTTTCAACCTCTACCTCTTTACTATACTCTTCTTCTGCAATATTCTTTCTACAAACTCACTGTAAGTACACATATCTTTTGATCTACTTCTTTATCTTGTGTTTACTTTACTAACTCACCTTGATATTAGCAAATGACTCGTACCAAGCAAACTGCTAGGAGATCAACTGGCGGCATAGCACCAAGGATGCCACTTGGATTACGGGCTGGCTCTGGGCTTGGCGGAAAGGGACAGGAAAAGGCTGTGGGCACAGCAAGAAAAGCTCCAGTTTGCTCATCTCAAGCTAGCAACAATCATGCTCAGAAGGCCACGCGCTGCACAAAGTCTAGTAAGAGGATTACCAGAGGATTACCAGAGGATTACCAGAACTCTCTAATAAACATATAGGCACCAAGGCTCTCCGCGATATCAGAAGACAGCAACTTGATACTAGCTCCCATTCCAGCGTCTTGTTAGGGAAATCACAGTAGACTTCAAGTCCAATCTTCGCTTCCAGCAATCTGCTATCCTAGCTCTTTAGGAAGCTGCTGAATGCTTCCTCATTCGAGAATTTGAGAGTATGATGTTTAAACATAGTGACAGGGACATACTAACAGTTATAGTGACAAACCTCCTCGCTATTCATGCGAAGAGAGTGACAATTCAGGCAAAGGGTATGATATTGGTTCGGCGTTTGCAGGATATGATGTTTAAGCTGTGGGCTTAATCGATGGAAATGTCTCTCACCCAGGAATGAAGGTCAGATGAGTTCTGGTAACCATCTGGTAACCTGGTACCTAAAGGCCAAAGGTTATAGTGTGGAATAGGACATCAACAATATGGGAATGGAGTTGGAGTTATGGCGTCTTGATCAATGAAGTCGCACCCCGTTTTTAACATAAGTAATGGCTAATCAAACACGTGATATAACTGAGTTGCCAAGACCCATACTAGGTACTCAGCAAGTGAGTAATCCTCATTCAACAATACTCGGGACATGAGCGAGTAACTCAGCTGGGTGAGTAAAAATTCTACTACTCGACTCGTGAGTACCCAGTGCGCAGCCTAGCAGCCGTCATGGTGATGACTCATCACCATGACGGCTGCGAATTCAAGAGCCCCCCCCTAGAGAAGGGCAGCAACCCCAAGAAACCCGCGACACCCTACCCGTATACACAACCCTGCTCCTCCAAGAATCTCGATACTTCAGGATATCCTATTCCCAATGTAACACAAGCCAAGCCCATACAGCAATTATCCCCCGCATTCTGCCCCTCACCGCCCCGCCATTCTGCCATCCCCCACCGCCTTCTCCCCCACCAAATCCGTAAATTTCCACCAAGACCCCTCCAACCAGCCCCCCATACCAGCCATTTCAAAGCCCATTCCTCTTAAAAGAAACTCACACGCGACCATGGCAGACGTCGACCCCCTCGCCACCCCGGAAACGGACATAACGACGCAGACCATCCTCCTACACGCCGCAAACCACGATATCCCAGCCCTCAAACCCTACCTGCGCGTGCCTGGCGCAGCGTCGGCCCAGGATCCAGAGACTGGATTTACGCCGCTGCATGCGGCTATTGCGGCCTGCGGGCCTGTATATGAAGGAGCGGCAGGGTCTGAGGCGCCTGCCGGCGAGCCGGCTGCCGCTGCGCCTGCTTCCGGAGAGGAGAAGGGTTTCACTGAGGACGCCAACGCGATCGAGAACATTGAGGCGTCTGCTATAGCAACGGTTACGGAGCTGTTCCTCTCGGGCGCGATCTGGAATGATCTCGACGCGAATGGTGAGACACCGGGGTGCCTCGCATGGCGTCTAGGGAGGAAGGGGGTGTATGAGGCGGTTGTTCAGGCGGGGGTGCGGGCCGAAGTGCTGCTGGGGATGATGGGGGGTTACGACCCTTTGTCTAGCGGGGAGGAGTCCGAAGCCGAGGAAGATGATACCACAGAGCCCGCTACAGAAGCAGAGCCACAACCAGAGGCCGCAGGTGTGGCGAAAGAAACCACAGACACAAAAGCTCCCGCGCCCTTCGACCCGCAAGATCCAAGCGACGTCAACTCTCGCGACTACCTTGTCTCAGAGCTCACCTCCACCTCCACCGCGCTCCTCGACTCTGACGCCAACGCCGTCATGATGGAGTGGGAAACAGACATCATGAAGCTCTCCGCAGCCCTCCTCGCGCCCGCCCCCGGCCTGCGCGTCCTCAACATCGGCTTCGGGATGGGCATAGTGGACCGCTTCTTCTCTGCCGAGATGCCGAGCACACACCACATTATTGAGGCACACCCCGGTGTCCTCGCATTGCTGCGCGCGCCCGACCACGAGTTCGGGGCGAAGTGGGAGGTGAAGGGGAAGGAGGGAAGGAATAAGGTTTGGCCGGGCAGGTGGCAGGATATCGCGCCCGCACTGCTGATGGGAGGGGAGATGTACGATGCGATTTATTTCGATACCTTTGGGGAGGACTATGGAGCGTTGAAGATGTTCTTCGAGGATTATGTGCCTGGGCTACTAGCGGAGGGGGGACGGTTTGGATTTTTCAACGGGCTGGGGGCAGATCGGAGGGTATGCTATGATGTGTATACGCGTGTGGCGGAGATGGATCTTGAGGGGGTGGGGATGGAAGTGCAGTGGGTAGAGGTCGAGGTGCCAATTGATGAGGGGCTTGGGAAAGAGGGCGAGGGGGAGTGGGGGGGGGTTAAGAGGAGGTATTGGACATTGGATACGTATCGCTTGCCTATTTGTACCTTTATGGGTTGAAGGGATTGGAAATCAACGATCATTTAGCAGGTTAGGGCGTGAGAATCTCGTCGCTAGGTTTTAGTGTTAAAACCGCACGGTGGTGGAAAGAAGGGTGTTGGTGGCTTGAAAAGAAGTAGATTCGTCGACTCATCTGCTATATAGCCAGACAATACCAAGCTTCTTCAATCTTTTTTTGGTTATATAGCCTGACAATAACGAACATCCGTATTTTTTTGGTTATGCAGCCCGAAGGTGCCAGCGTCCCCTTGGATTCCAGCAAACCTGCCTTTTACAAGTGGGCTATGCCACTGAAGCTCAAATCCAAGCAATTTCGTTGATACGACACTTGCTAGGTGTCTAAAGGCGCTCATTTGTAGTTCTCCGGGTGCTGGATTCCAGCCATGTTGCCAGCCTTGACCCTCTTGAGAGTCAGCGCCGCAATGAGAGCGGCTCCAACACCGCTTCCATCCTCAGCAGCAAGGATCTCGACTGGGTCCCTCTCGCCAGCCTTCTTCTCGGGCCAGTCGAGGATCTCGCGCAGGGCCTGGGCACCACGCTCCTTGAAGTGGGGATACTTGTTGAAGACGGATCCGTCGGCACCGACGTGGCACGTCTCGTAGCCCTTCTTCTTGCAAATGGCGGCGACACCGCAGGCCGAGAGGCGGGCTGCGCGAGTGCCGATCAGCTCAGCAAGGCGGCGGATGAGCTCGAGCTCGGCCATCGTGGGCACGAGGTTGAGCCTTGCTTGGAAGAGCTCTGCCGTCTCAGACAAGTTCTCGAAGGGATCCTCTTCAATGGCAGAGAGGAATGAGGAGTCCAACGTGTATGCCTTGCGGAGCTTGTCGATGTTCTGCTGGTCAAAGATGTTCACGTGCTTGTTATCGTGCAGGTCGACAAGAACAGTGCGGAAGATCTCGCCCAGGTAGAGGCCGGCGATCATCTTTTCGAAGGCTTGTTGATCAGGGCGGGGCGATGCCTTGTCAATGACAACATCGTATGGCGTACGGGGCAAAACAACGTGCTCGTTGTCAAAGGCACCCCACTCGCAGTTAATTCCCATGAGCGTGTCTGCGGGGAGGTTCATGTGGGCAAGCTTGGGGATGGATCCACAGTGCTCCATGTATGCAGCGTTGCATCCAGTGCCGAAAATGCAGCCGATCTTCATCGTGGTGTCGGTGTATGCCGAGGCGACCAATGTTCCAGTGGTATCATTGATCAAGGCAGCGAGATTAATCGGCACACCCTATACAATTATTAGCCGGTGCAAGCAAAAGTACTGTGGTTGACTTACTCTCTTCTTCAACGCATCCAAAAATGGAGGGACCACATCCTTCCCCTCTACTCCATCAATGTCAAACCCTTTGGTCCAACGCTGGAGGATTCCGTGGTCAATAAAGTTTTGCGTCGCCGGATATGAGAATGTGAACCCGAGCGGCAGCTTGTCAAGATCCTCACCTCCGTGATGGGTTTGAATAAATTGCTGCAGGCAGTCGGCAATGTACTCCCACAGCTCATCGGCCTCGCCTGTCTTTAACTCTTCCGGCATCCTGTACTTAGACTGGATTATATCGAATTCAGACTTCTTCTCGGTCAAAGTGATCTCGCAAACTCGCAGGTTGGTTCCTCCCATATCCAGTGCCAAGTAGCGGCCTTGCTCATTTCCATCTGGCATTCCCATACACCATGTTGGGTTCATTGGCTGCGATACATTAGCCTATATCATACTTATAACAGGTTAAATGCAGCATACAATACTTCCACCCTCTACGGTAAGGCCCTTGGCTAACTCTTTCACAAAATGATCGGTGATCTCCTTGAGCTTCTCTTGTGGCACAGTAAACATGCCCTCGAGGCGCTTAACCTCTTGGGCTAGATCCTTGGGTAGATCGGTGCTCGACCCTGTTACACGTTAGCCTCCATTCAACCTCTAAAGATGCACTGCTGCGCTTTAGGCATATGGAAAACATCGAATCCATCACTACTATCCACAATGGCAACGCCCACTGGTCGGCAATTGATTTATACATGACTTGCTTCGGGGCCAAATGATGCCATGTATCATGCTATCGCTGAGGGGGGAGCTGAATTGGAACAGTATTGAGCAAGAGACGAAACATGGCTGTTTCTTTTAGCAGATTTAAACTGCTTTCAGAGCTGAGCCAAGTCGCCCTACTGTTGCATTTCAACCCCGCACCGCCGAGAATCGATCAAATCATGACCTTAGCCTCGTACGTTCAGTCCTTGCAATGAGCTTGGTCCAAAATGCTAAGTTCCCTCCAAAGCTATATCACATTGCATTTGACCGAGAACGCTGTGAAGACAAGAGCGAAATTCGGAGGCATACCTTGGCGAGACGGCGGCTTCTTTGGTCCAAGGCCAACCATGATTACAGGATTTTAGGGTAAAAGTATGATAGAAAAAGGTATATGTGTGTAAATTCACAAACTCGGCCTGCGTTCAAACCGCGAGGGACCTGGCTGCTTATATATGGGCAGCTCAACAAAAATCGATTGTTATGTCTTGAGTTTTGTTTTGTTTTGTTGGATCTTGCCCCTCTTCTCACCGTCACTTGGCCAGATAAGCTAAGGTGTGGGTCTGACTCAGCATGCGTCTTCGGCGCGGGTAACTCCAAATTGAGATAAGCGCACGGTAGCTTGCGTGTCCGTACGCGGCTAATTCTAAACTGTAAGGACACCTTGAAAGTACCACCAAGCTTGGGACGAGAGCTTTAGGCAAATCTTCTGGGCTGCCTCGACAACGACCATCCACCCTTCTCTTCCGAACGATATCCTTTGAGGCGACTGTATATATCTAGCCGTCTGTCGGCATGGTTAACTTAAAGGCATTGTCGCGTGCGACTGCCGTCCTCTCCTTTGCTGGAGCAGCTCTCTCCAAGCCGACTGTAACGAAACCGGCCTCATCACAAAACATCCTCCCGTCGACGTTCACGCCGCCCCAAGTATTCAAAAATATAAACATCCAACGATCAATCAACCTGGAAAAGAGCTATCCTAGGAGCGTTGTCAATGTTGTCATAGAGAACGTCTCTCCTGAGGCACAAAATGAATATTACATCCCATTCACAACCTCACAAGCGGAGAAGCTTGGCAACTTGGAGGTGAAGGATAATAAAGACTTGACAAGTCCGTCGTTTGGCTTCGAGGCTGTTTCCATTGATGGCTCAAGGTATGGTTATCCGACCGCGCATGTTCGTCAGCTCTGGCTAATCTTCATAGCGAAACCCAATTCTACAAGGTCCAACTGCCCCAGCCATTGGCGCCAAAGGGAAAACAGACTATTCAAATCAGCTACTCATTCCTCTCCTCTTTCCGCCCTCTTCCAGCAGCCGTTGCTCAACAAGACCCACAATTCCTTGTCTATGAGTTCTCCGCATACTGGCCATCCTCGTATGCCACCAGACACCAGCAGACCGAAATCAAGTTCCCGGGTGCCAGTGTCCCAGAATACACCGGTGGAATTGGAGGCAAGGAAGAGTCTGCCAAAAAGGTTGGCTCAAAGCTTACTTACGGACCGTTCAAGGACGTGGCCGCAGGAACCACCCAGGCCGCCCGTGTCCGTTACGAGCACACTCAGCCGCTGATCCACGTCTCAAGGCTAGAGAGAGATATCGAAGTCAGCCATTGGGGTGGCAACATCGCCTTTGAGGAACGCTACACTATCGTCAACAAGGCCGCGAACCTCTCTTCCCAGTTCAACCGCGTTGAGTGGGCGCACCAGCAATACCGTACCCCTGAGACGACGGCGATCAAGGCGCTCCACATCCCTCTACGCGTCGGCTCTCTCACTCCTTACTACACCGACGTCATTGGAAACATCTCGACCAGCCGCTTCAGGAGCAACAAGCGTGAGGCCAATTTGGAGCTCAAGCCCCGTTATCCTATCTTTGGTGGCTGGAACTACCCCTTCCGCATCGGATGGGATGCGAATCTGGCGACTTTCTTGAGGACAGTCAAGTCATCCGATAGCTACGTATTGAATGTTCCCTTCCTCGAGGGTCCCAAGCAGCATGAGGGGATCTCATACGAATTCGTCGAGCTCCGTGTCATTCTTCCTGAGGGCGCTACGTAAGTTAATTCCTCGCAATTACTCTTCAAATAAACCACTAACACTGCTCAGGAACGTCAAGTACGAGACCTTAGTCCCTATCGTCTCCGCCACAATCTCCACCCACGTCACCTTTATGGACACCATCGGCCGCACCGCCCTCACCCTTCAGGCACGCAACCTCGTCGACGCGGTCCGCGACCGCGAGCTCATCGTCACCTACGAATACTCTCTCTCGGCGGCTCTCAGGAAGCCAGTTGTGATCATCGTTAGCGTTCTGGGTCTATTTGTTGCCGTGTACCTCCTCGGAAGCCTGAACACGGGCATTTCCTCGAAGAGGGTGGGGAAGGCTTAGAAGCGAGGTGGTGGCATACGGGGGAGAAAAGTCACATGTGAAATGTATGCTTATGTAGAATACTCAAAGATTATTGCTTTTTTTGGTCGAGCTATGGGATTGTTTGAATCTTCGGTGATTTATGGAGTAACTTCGGTGCATTGATGTCTGCGTAGAAATCGTAGGGCATAGATGTTCATTAACTCGAATCAAAGCTATGCGCACTCAAGTTGCCATCAAAATCAACAAACACTAACAATCTGTCAAAACCAACAGTAACTATACCATCCATCCATCACCAGGTGTCTCTATTACTTCGCCGCCCCAGCATGACTCTGGCACCAGTTCACCCAATCAACAAACAAACCCGCCGCCACCTTCTTCTCCCCCATCACCCACTGTACCTGCGTATCCCTATACACCCCCGCGACCTTCTTCACAAGCCTCTTATCAACCCTATAAAGACTACTCGCGACCAACAAGCTCGCCGTGCTCGCCGCCTTCGCAAACGCATGACTGGCATCCCTCGCCGCCTCCTCATGAATCTCCTTCAACAGCCCAATCCGCTCCAGGATGTCAAAATCCGCCTTCTCCTCCGCCCCCGCCTCCTCATCCCCATCCGCCTTCCCCCCCTTCGTCGCCTTCTTAAAAGCCGCGAGCACAGAGTGCGCTCGCTCTCCAACCTGCTTCGTACCGGTCTCGCGCATGCACCTCAGCAGCGGGAGGATAAGTCCGTACGCCTCCGCCTTCTCGGGTACGCGACGCACGTAGATCTCTAGGAGGTCCAGGATGCGGTTCTTGAGGTTGACGACGGTAGCGCGCGCGTCTTTGGCTTCTTGCTTCTTGTTAGGCGTCTTCTTGCGCGCGGCGAAGATCTCGACGAGCTTCTCGTCCAGCTGCAGCATCTCGGAGTCGGACATGTCGGAGTCGGATTCCGATTCAGCGGCCGCGTCTTCGTCGAGGCGGTGCGTGTCCAGCGCGGCGGCGAGGGCTTTGTCGAGGGCTGCCATGTCGGCGTCCTCTCCGTCTTCGGCGGCGTCGTCAGCGTCGTCGCCGTTCGCGGAGATCATTTCCACGTCCGAGTCTAGCTCGTCGGAGTCAGAGCCATCCTCGTGGTCGTGGTCGTGTTCCTCGTGGTCGTGTTCCTCGTCGTCGTTCTGGTCGAATAGTGCCTGTTGGCCCTTTGCGCTCTCGGCGGCGCCGAGGACGTCGGTCATCAGGGCCAGTCCTTCGGCGGTGATTTCGGTAGCGAAGGCTGTGAAGACGTGCTGTGCGACTTTGCGGAGGAGCAGGGATGATCTTGACATCAGGGACAGCAGAATCTCGACAAGAACTTGAGACACATCTTGGCCCTCCTCATCGTCCTTACCGCGAATCAGCTTATCGTAGCAGAGCTTGAGCTCGTCCAGAACGGATGCCGCGTCGGATTCACCGTTGAGGAGCTGGAAGACTACCAAGGCGTATAGAAGCGCCAGGGCCTCAAGGGAGACCTTCTCCTTCTCGGAAGCCTTCTTTGTCTTCTTGAGCAACTTCTCCATGGTGGCAAGGCCCTTGTCTTTAGCTGCCTCGACCTCGTCCTCCATCTCGACGGCATCGGTCTTCACGGACTGGAGCAGTTCAATTGGGTAAGAGAAGCCCTTTGGATCGGAGATGAGATGGGCGAATGCGGATGTCAAGCGGCCGCGGAACATGGTCCTTGATGCCTCGGACAACTCGGGCTTGCACTTGAGGTGCTTCTTGGAGTATGAGAGTTTGCCAAGAGTGGGCAGACCAGTGGTCTTGACCCATGTGGCATCGACGGACTCGTCGGTGACATTAACGCGGCGGATCATAGAGAGTAAGTAGTCTCCGAAGCACTGGCGGCGAGTCTCGGCATCTTTGTCGCTCTCGCATCCGTCGATTTTCAGCGCCGGCTTGAGAAGAATGTCGACGACGGCCTCTGCATCCTTGCCAGAAGCCCAGCCGAGCATCTTATCGATGGTCTTCGTCTTTGTAACTTGGTCAAAGTTGTAGAATCCATTGCCGCCAATCAGCTTTGGCAGAACCGTAGGGATAGTGTGAGGGTGGGCTTCCGCCATCTGCTGGACAGCTCTCAGACTCTTCTCAGCTGCGCGGTGCAGGAAGCGATCTTCTTGCGACATGTGGTTGATGAGGCAGCGGACCAGGTTTGGGCTGAAAACGCTAACAAGTAGCTCCTTATAATCCGACGCATCAGTGAGCATCTTCTGGAAAAGAAGGAAGCCCCAGAATTTGCGCTCTCGGGATGCAGATGCCGAAAATAGATTCTCTGTTCCATCATTAGCATAGTATTTTGAATTCGGGTACCATGATTCTTACCATCAACAGCAACCTTCCAGAACTTCTCAAACTCGTTCGCGACTTCCTCATCACCAGATCTCGCACCAGCCACATACTGATCCACGATCATCCCCCACACAAAATGCAACTGCGGGTTCCAGTTCCCCGTCTGCTTTGCCTGGCCCTCTCCCTCAGGCGACGAGCTCTCCTTCAGCGCCTTCCCCAGCGACTTCAGGTGCTCCAGCGGGTTCCCGCTGCTCCCCCACGGCTTCGGCGGGAACTTCATGTCCGGAAACTGACGGCGTGCTGCGATCCAGATACCGACTCCCTCTGGCGACACAGCCAGGCCAGCCTCAAACAGTCTCTGGAGTGTCGTCTCGGCTTGGCTCTGAGACATTTGCGCCAGAGCTTCGACGACCACCCATCCGACTTCCTCTCTCAGCCATGGCTTCTTGCCGCACAGGTATATGAGTGAATCAAACACGACCTCCCATCTCTTCTCCTCGCCCGAGAAGAGGATCTTAGCCCTCACAAAGGACTGTAATCCAAACAGCAGACCGAGCGCATGATCCTTCTCTTCCTGCCCACTCAGATCGCCCTCCGGCTTCGTCTTAAGCTTGAGAATCTCAAGCACCTTATCGAATCCCAATCCAGGATATTTCTCCTTCTCCCCAAATATCTGTCCCAAAACCTCCGTCAATACAATGCTAAACCCCAATCTCGCGCCCTTCCTCCCGCTCGCCAACCCCCGAAACAGTCTCCGCTCCAAATGCCTCTGCATCGTCGTCTCCGACGCCCCCTCCCCCATCAACAGCCCCGAAACAACCGCATCCGCAGCAGCAAGTCGCTCAGCTGCATCCTCACTGGAGAGCTGATCATACAGCTGAACCTCGCGCTTAAGCTCCGGTCCCTTCGCATTATCCACAAAGGGCAGTATGGGCAACGGCTCGGCCTCGATTGCGGCTCTCTTCGCAGCGGCAGCGGATTTTCTCGTCTCCTTCTTATTCGGGTCCTTCTTTGTCTCCTTGGCCTGTTTCTTAGCTGCAGGTGCACCGGAAGGTGCGTCCTGCGCTTGTCTCTTGTGTTTGTCGCCCATTTCGGTTACGTTTTTGTGTGGTGGTTGTTGGGCTGGATTGGCTTTCTGGTTTTAGTCGAGTTGCGATTTATTTTGGTTTATCTTTTTCGGTGAGCTTTCTGCTAGCGTTTACCGCCCCAATTGGCGCCGGTTTAGGCGTGGCGTAGGTCGTAGATTTTAGACCCTATCTACGTACATACTTCAACGACCATCACCAATTAATCGCAACTACAGTTAAGACGGAAAGCATGTTAATTTAATCACGTCGCAAAGTAAAGGGCAAGATGCTTCGAAAGTTTTCTCTCCTAAGTATCTCAACAACTAATGCTTCTCAATCCGACCCCTTCATATGATTTATCCCCACATGTACCGCCCCCCAAAGAGGGCCAATTTCTACAAAGATACATGGTCAATACAGAGTAATCGCTCTTCGCCCTCCGCATAATCGCACAGCCCGTCAGAAAACTAAAACTCGCCGACGGCTAAAAAACACAGCCCTATAGAACCTCTCTGTCAAATTAGACGGGTGAGAAGGTCGAAAAGCTATGCAGTGATGCAATGCAGATGCAAAAGCGACGCAAAAACAGGATCAAGAAGGGCCTCAAGTGAGACATCGTGGTTGGTGTGAGAACAAGGTGTGTGTGAGTGCGAGAGACGGATGGTCTCATCCAGTATGTGCTCGCTTGCTCTGTTTGAGAAACAAGTCGAGTCTTTAGACGTCAAGGAAATAGGTTTGTGGCCGACACGATGGTTGCGGCTATAGTATGGTGTATGGTGGAGAAGATAATGGCCGGAAATGCCTAATCCGGGTGTGTTGGATAATGGCCATTGGCCATTACGTGGTCGCATATAAAGATCCACCGCGGGGTTTAGAGTATGCAAATAAGATATTTGCAGAGCAGCTTCATAATGAAGTGCTGGTGGGGTATGGTAGAGTAGTCGTGGCGGACAATGCAGCAGATGCAGAAGGTCGATAGGCTGGAGCAAAAGATGCAATATTCGCTCAAATGCCATAAAGTCTATGAAAGGTTGACATGTGCGCTATGCGAAGAGGTATGAATGAAACGGCTCGCTCAGTCGCTGAAAATGTGTTTGAGAAGTCATATACCGGAACGCCAAAAGGAAAAATACCAAACTCCGGCCAGTAAGACACGAAGTCATGAGGAAGTTAATATGATGCCAAACGGCGACCATGGACGCGATTATCGTTCGGTATGGGCGATGAATCGAGCATCATGGTGTCGAATGCTCTGCCTGATCGGCTCGGTCCAGTTGGGCTATCCTCGACGCCGCCATGCTGTCCGAAAGCAAAGGTCTGGGCACGGCTAAGCTTTCCTCTGTTCTGACGGAGCCTGCCCATTTCTCGCTCGCATGTGAACGCATGCTCTTTTGCATCCATCTCAACGTAGTTTTGTGGGTAGCATCGGTCACGATGGTCGGAGAAGAAGGCACTGTAGCCTCCGTCAAGGATGTAGACCTCGGGATAAGTTAGCCTTGGATAATGCTCAATGTTTGTCGTGCGGTCTTGCTGGCGAACATGGCGTGCCATGATCGGAGCCCGATGGGCAGAGTATTCGCAGTGGAATATTAGGAGTGTGTTTTCGGTCGTGTTGGCGAATAGTTCGCCGGTCAACATCTCTTTAGCATTATAGTTGACAGCGCCATTAATATGACCGCCGTTGTATTCATACTCGAATCGACAGTCAATAACCATTCTCTTCTTGTAATTCTGGTCGAACTTTCCCTCGAGAATATCAACAAGTGTATCTTTCGTAATTCTTGGGATGCTGTCCGGTTGTCCTTCCTGGAAGAAATGGGGCAGCACTGGCTGATGCTGCTCATCAACATCCATGACGGATTGAAGGGCGGTGGATGAGCATGTAGGCGGCTCTTTCTTTTGGGTCATGATATCCGCTGGGTTCTCAAACATGCTCAAAGACCGACGAAACTGCTTCCTCGGGCGAAAGAGGGGGTTTGACGGACGTCGTGCATGGCTGATGGGTGAGCCGTTACGAACAACAGATATGCTTAAAGATGACTGCTTTGTTCTTTGCGGCGGGATAACTGCGATTGTAGGGTTACTTGAAACTGCCATTCTCTTCTCTTGGGGGGGCGATTCCATAAAGCACTCTCCAAGCGACATAGAGGTCGATGTTGACAGCTTGCTGCTTCCTGCACCAAAGCGGAAAGGAGGCAGCTGCATCTCAGGGCGTGACCGTTGTGGTACGGAACCTGCTGAGTGCCCCTTTGTCCTCGCTAGTCCTGGTCGTAGCAAAATGGATTTCCTCCTCCTATCGCAACGATCAGAAACATGCACTATGGATGTATGAGAGGAGAACTTACTCAGGCATGAACGGAGCTGACTTGGGGAGCTCTGCTACATTGGGACGCGGGGGAGACGATCGAAGGGTCATCTCATGTTCATTTGTCTGAGGTGGGCATGGAGACTGGGCCTCGATCTGGACTGAATAGGGAGCTTTATGAGGCAGCGGGGACACGTCCATGGATTCGTAGAATGGCCCTGGAGACGAGGATTGCAGCGGAGGTGTGGTGACGCTCTCTGCTAGGTGTTAGCAGCCGCGCCATACTATCTCATGGAGCTATCTTACCACGACTATCCAGTGCACCAAAGATGTTTGCTGTGAACAGAGACCGACGGGGAGTCGGCAGTTGTGGGCTGGCAAACGGTTAGCACAGGAGGTACGCCTGGGTATATATTGGACGTGCCTCATATCAATATGGAAGTTCTGAGAAAGATCGGCTGCCAGGCTGGTTGTGGGGGAAGAGCCTCGAATGGTTTTCAGGGAGAAGTACTCTGGGGCTGGCCTCTTCATGCTCAGATCTCTAAAATTGAATGCTCCTGGACCAAAACTATTCGTTGTCGACAGACTGGAATTTCCGCGAGTGCTGTACATATCTCTGCAGTTCCATGGCATGAGGGAGGGAGGCTGCATGGCAGCCAGAGGTGAGGAGGCTTCCATGATGGCAGCAAATTGTAACACGGCTCCCACAACTGTGTCGGCCGGATTGCAATAAATATGGAGAGAAGTATATGGGCGTTATTCGAATGTTCTGACGACAGAAGAATGTAATCGTTACAAGCCAATTTAACTATGAACGCTGCGTAGGGAAAATGCAGGACAGGAGCAAGAGGTGCAATGCCAAGGTACGTCCGACGTATCCAGTCGTTATATAGAATGCCAGGCCGGGTGGTGGTATGGTCGAAGCTATATTTGATTATTGAATCAACGTCTCAGACATTGATGCTTGTGGGTAGGTCGTTGAGCTAGATACTGTGGGGAAGGTCGGGGACGGTTTCGGGGTCGTATATGGTAGGAATTGGGCGTGGCGGTCGATGTAGGGGGTCGTTTGTGGCGGCCGGTCTTGGGTGGAATTGATGTCGTCTTGTCGGCCGGTCTTGTCGGACGGTGTGGTGGTCGTCGTCGATATCGCAGTTCCCATAGGAAGGTATCCTTCTTTGTCGATTGGGAGGTTGACGGGCTGGCCGGCGGTGGGAAGGAGAGAGGGGAGAGGGAGGAGAGGAAGGAGAAGGAGAAGGATTGATTGAGGTGAGGGAGGAGACGGAGGAGAGGAAAGAGAAGGATTGATTGAGGTGAGGGAGGTGAGGGAGGTGAGGGAGGAGACGGAGGAGACGGAGGAGACGGAGGAGTTTTGAATGGGACCAGGTCGGGCGTCCGTCTCCAAGTCGACGAGAGGAGTGGGTAAGGATGCAGCGAACAGAGGACTGGCACTGGACGACAGGATGTCGGCGAGCGATGGTGCCTGTCCCTGTCGAGTGAGTTTGTGTTGTCAGGGCAATTATTCTCTCTAGGCTCTAGGGGGGAGTGCATCAAAGGTAAGGTACTCTTAGTCTAGGGGGTACTTACTTCCTTGCATCAAAGGTAAGGTACTCTTACTCTAGGGGTACTTACTTCCTTGCGTATAGGTGCCTCAAAGGTAAGGTACTATTACTCTAGGGGATACTTACTTCATTGTGTAAAGGTGCGTCAAAGGTAAGATACTCTTAGTCTAGGGGGTACTTACTTCCTTGCATCAAAGTGCGTAAAAGTGCGTCAAAGGTAAGAGGTACTCTTACTCTAGCGTGGGTTGGGGATGGGGATGGAAGGGAGGTAGCCAGGGTGTACCTCTGTGAATGGATTGATAGGATTGTGCAGTGTATTATGGGCGCATTATGTTAGACTATCCAGGTCAGGGGTACATCAGCGTGACCACCACTAAACCATGTTTCCCAGCTGGAGGTCGCTGCACAAGTACCTACAACATGCATGCTGTTCGGGTGCGGTGCACAACATTTACAGCGTCTCACCTCGTCGTCGTCGATTTTATCTCGCTGCTCAGCTGAAAAATGCACCCGCCAGTACCTCCTGGCTTCTTTAAGCGCCGTCCGTCTGTCTTTCTCTACGACATCATCAACAATAATCTCCCCAGTGAAACTACTCTCCGATGCTGATTGAATGAACGCAGCTCTGACACCCCCCCAAGTCCCGTCATGCGCTCCACGATGGTCTTACTTGTCATGTTTCAACGCCTTGATGCCCACCGGCTTCTGTCCACAAGAATAGAGTTACAATCATGGGTATTCCACGGGCCCAGACGAAACAATGTCCCGGAATGAGCTGCTCTATGGGCTGACACCTGATAAGCCCTATGGGATTGCCCCATGCTCAACGGAATCTGGGGGGTGTTGATCACATCAGCAATCTATTCTGCCCAAAAGAAGACGGCAAATCACAGCTCTGGAACAGGTTGGCCACAAGCGGTTATAACATTGCTAACTGAAATACTCCGAATGGGCTGATCTGCCCAAAAGATGACGGCAAATCACAGCTCTGGAACAGGTTGGCCACAAGCGGTTATAATGAAATACTCCGAATGGGCTGATTGTTCCCGAACCTCTCTCCCCCAATCGATCAACACCATGTGCATCCGACGCCGGTTGGTTTTTGAGATGAGCAGAAACCCAGGACGATCATTTTGCGTCCTGCCACATTGCCATGGGCTAAGCGCCGATCAGCCCTGACAATTATGCCAGTGTAGTATTTGCTAATTGGACCTGCGACGATTCTCGACGATTCTCGACGAAACCGCACAGCGGGTGGCGCGTCGAAGCCAGCATTGCCCACTTGAGCCACGAACCGCAAGACAGAGCTACTCCGTAAGCCGCATGGCTTACGGAGTAGCTCGTCTCCTCATCCGTGCCAAACACCAATGGAGAGCTGCGCCGCGTCCAAGCAACCGCTTACCTCCCTGATTTAGACACAGCTTCCCGAACTGCCAATATTTCCGCCGGCAACCCTCCAACCGGCGCGCCGTGACTCCCAGCCAGCAGAACGATCAAACCCGGATAAGTGAGGGGAAATCGAACCATGCCTGCTCACCGCTGTATTCCCTGTGTTTGCACTACTTCAATAGAGCCGCTTGTGCCACCGTCGCTGCCAGCGCCCTGATGATGTGGGTGCGCAGAAAGAAGTTGCTCACCTCGGTTAGACGTGTCACGAAATGTAAACAAAACATTGCAGGGCTCAGTCTCAGTCGCGCAGTCGCCAAATCTCGCGCAATCACGGGACTGAACGATTACTCCGAGACCACGATGGGCGACCTGTTCGATTTGGAGCTCTCTCTCCACACACCAGCTTCACCTTCCCAATCAGCCCGGTCTCAGAGCCCCCGCGCGACCCTCTCCGAGTAAACGGGATTGTCGCAGAGCCGTCGATTACTCTAAGTCAAAAGTCAAACGTTCCTCTCTTCCCTTGCGTCGATCCGCCGACCAACCCAGCCTGGCCGCAGCGGTCCGAAATCCCATCCCGGTTGCCATCCTCCATCTGCAGCCTCCACGGCGTAACAGCACAGCAACCACGTCGCACCAAGGCTGCTGCAGCATCAGCGCCCGCATGACCGATTGCGGTTAACAGCTGGCTCCATCCTCCGCAATCTGAGTGGTGGGGACAATCCGCGAAAATGTAACCTTGGGGAGCAGCCGCCTGCTGGTGGCAGATATACGATGCACATGTTTCATGCATTTCCTTCGCATGCAGCTATGGCGTGCATTGGGCATGCTTCGACGGGACCCTTCAGATTCTCGCGATTCCCTCAATTCAGGTCTCCTGATATGCGTCGCAGTCCCCTTTCTTGACAATTTCCGGCTCGATCGTGACATTTTTAAGGGAAGGGTGGTGATTCCACGCTGTCAGACGGGTACGTTACGCTGAGACGTGGAATGGCGCTGCTTCCGGCGTTATCCTGCTTATCGGGTGAGACATTCCGCTGGATGCGGCCGCGCAGCACGTGTTTTTGAACGTTTTGAGGGCTTTGCTTCGCGTTTTCCAGCAACAGGGGCGTTTATAGATCACGCGTTAGGGAGAACAGGGACTTCAATAGATCATGCTTCCTGCGAACGGTGAGAAGGGTGCGCGTTTGTATGCAGGGCTTCGTGTTTGTTTTTTGGCATGGAATAAACATGGAACACGCGTGAGCCCTTATGATATGACGCCGTAGACTTTAACAGCTTTTTGCTGGAATACAAAGTGCTCTCATTCTATCACCCCCCTTTTTGCAAATCTGCCCCCAAGCATCTAGATATAAAAGTTACAATCTCCTAACAAAGCACTACCATTCCATAACCACCATTCCATAACCATTCCATAAACCCTATAACCCCTCTAGAGTATTACATCCCACTCCCCTCCCCATGCCCCTCCTCCTGTCCCCCCTCAACCCCATGAAACGCCTCCCCAAACGCGCTATCATCAACCAAATCCATCCCCCCCTCCAACTCCTCAAACCCCGCCAGCGCCTCCCCAGCCGTATCCAGATCATCCAGACCCGAGAAGTCCACCGGCTCCGCCGCCTCACTAACCCTCGGCGTCGACGCAGCGGTCACTCCCAGTGCGGCGGGCGTACCAACCTGCGCGCCAGCAGCGGGAGGTGCGAGTGCGGGCGCTGTGGGTGTAGCTGCCACTGATGCGGGAGCGCTTTGGGGGACGTAGGTTTGTTCCTCAGCCGGCGCAGGTGCAGATGGCGCAGGAGCAGGTACAGGAGTAGGAGCCTGACGTTGCGCCTGGACCACTGTGGGCGACACGCCGCCCTGTGGAACAACAACCCAGTCGCCCGCGTCGGACTTCTCTCCCTCTTGTGCCGTTCCGCCCATCTCGACATCCGGCTGCTGCTGCGCCGGGCTAGGGGCGGAGGAGTTCATAGTCGACAAACCCTGGATGTGGTGCGAGGTGTAGCTATTCCCCGGTGTAGTAGCAGCGCTGAAACCGGTGTGGAATTGATCCAGCAGGCCGGCCGCGGATCCCATATCCAGCTCGTGGTCAGCGACGAGGAGGCTGCTGTGCGCGCTGCGGGGGCTAGGGGCTTGTGGCGAGGCGATCTCACAGGGGACGTAGGGAGCGGGTTCAGGGGATGGCTGGCGCTCTTGGAGACCGCCGTCGTGGAGGCGGCGGAGCTCTTTGACGGCTGCGGTGTGGAGGCCGAGGGAGGCTTCTAGCTGTGCGACGATGTCGTCGACTTTTGCGGCTGTGGAGAGCGCGGGGGGGGGCTCTTCGGAGTCGGAGTCGTCGTTGGAGGGGAGTTTGCCCTCGAGACGCCAGTACTCCGTGCCGACGTCCGATGGATCGTTCACGGCGGTTCGTAGGGCCTTCTCGGCTTGAAGTACAGTGCCGTTCTTGGCGAGCTTTGCCATACGCCTCGCGTGACGTCTCTTGAGCTTCTCAACCTCCTTGTTGTCTGCCTCAATCTTCTCGCTTGCTCTCTTTCTGAATTCATCCGCCTTGCCGGGGTCAAGATGACCAATGTACTCGTTCTCACCGCCTTTTCCGTCCTCGATATACTTGGCAGAGTTGTATGTCTCGAAGATGCCATTAGTGACCTTCTTCAGCTCGCCGCCAAGGCCGAGGCCAAGGTCGACGGGTACAAGATGGTCGATGGGGATGGGCGAGTTAATAACCTCATCCATCCACTCATGGTTCTGGATGTATCTGCTCTGGCTCACCTCCCTTGGTGTCATATGATCAAACATATCGCCTCGGGACGTATCCTCCTCATCGTCCATCATCTCGACAGGCGCAGCCTGAGCAGCCGCGTGCTGCTGGTTTGGCTGCGTGCGCGCACGCTTCGGTGCTGGTCCTGGCGTCATGTGCTGAGCTGGGTATGCCATTTGCTGCGGCGTGCGTGTCTGCATAGGGCTGAAGTACGCAGGTGCTCGCTGTGGTGACCTGCCCGGAAACTGGATCTGTGGCCACTTGCTGCGGTCATGGAGCATGAACTCCTTCTGCTGGATCTGTCCCTGGCTCTGGAGGTAGGCGCGCGTCTGCATCATGGACTGGATGCGCATGTCGGTGGGGATGGCATTGGTAGGCACGCGGTCGCCAGGGCTGGCTGGGTAGTAATGCGTAACCCAGAGGCTTGGGTCTGGTGCTGGGCCGCCTGGATTGGTGAATTTCCCTGGGACCAGTCTGTATCGTCTTCTAGCATGTGTCGCGACCGCATCGCCGGGCGCAAATCCTGCCTTGTGTTGGTATATCTCGAGCAGCTGAAGCTGTTAGAACTCGCAAGTAAATGATTGTAGAGGGCCACATACAAAGTTGTCCATGGGCATCGCATAAACCGTCTCAGCACCAGCCCAAACGTAACCATCGCTTGCAAAGTTGGTTCCCGCCTGTGCCTCCGGCTGCCATGTCAATAGGATCAGTCCATCCTGAGGGCGCTCCAGATACGTCCAGTAGAATGGCGCGCTCGAGTTGGCAATCTTGGGCGCGGAAAGCAACCAGTCGGCGATCTTGCTCTGGTGAACCGTTTGGAGTGTCGGGAAACGATAGACGGAGAGACAGTGGACATGGGGGAGCTGTGAAATATATCAGCCACCCGGTTCAGCCACGGGGAGAGGGTGATGGGAGTGAAGTGAGTTGATTGGCAAGGGAGAGACTTACGAGCTCAGGAGCGATCCCCTGGGCCGGGTTCTGCATCGCTGCGAATCAATTCGGTAGACACTTAATTGTGGGAGCCTGTTAATTCTAATTAAGCAGTCCTGGATAATAACAGTCGTGGGATAAAGCGTGCGCAATTGTCAACGATTGTCGATAACTTGCCCCGGACGCGAGGCTCGAGGTTTCGCTCAAATGGACGGATCAACTTTTAGTGTGTATATCACGTGATCGGTATTATTGGTGCCACAGTGTTGGAACTGCGTTCCTGGTAGTACGCTGTAATCGTTGGTTCTCAAACCACCGCCTGGAGGCGGTTGGCGAAAGCGAACTGGGACGCGAAAGCGATTGTGGGACACTTCCGGAGCGGACTCACGACGCGACACGACCGACCATGAACATGACCGACAACGAGCACAACTACAACCACAACTATGCCGGTAGTTGAAGTAAATAAAAATGAAGCTCTTTTAAATGCCATTGAATTTTTAAATGAAAACCCAACAGAGAAGAGTGCTACAGTAGCACGGATGTACAGAGTAAACCCAAGTACGCTCCGGACTATACGACTACGACAACGACGCGCATCACCAC